GGCTGAGGTGGGCAGATCACTTGAGTTCAGGAGTTCGACCTGCCTGACCAATATGGTGAAACCACATCTCTCCTGAAAATACAAAAATTAGCCAGTGTTGTGGCATGTGCCCGTAGTCCCAGCTACTCAGGAGGCTGAGGTGGGAGGATCACTTGAATCTAGGAGGTGGAGGTTGCAGTGAGCTGGGACAAAAAAAAAAGAATGCTATGGATATTAAGTGACAGAAGTACTAGAGGTACTATAATAGTAATGCTTTTAAAAGGGCATATGAGTTTATAATCATTTTGACATCTTAGATTTTAATGTAAGCTAAAATGGACAAGCAACAAAAAACAAAAATTCTTATGTCCAAGTGCTCTGCATCTCTGGAAAAAAAGTTCTTTGTTATTTTCCCAGGGTTATTATAATAATGCTAATTTACTTTTTTAGTTTTTTGTTGCTCTCTGCATCCAATAGTGCTATAATTTTCTATTCTTTTCTTTTCTTTTGAGATGGAGTCTTGCTCTGTCACCCAGTCGGAAATGTGGTAGCATGATTTTGGCTTACTGCAACCTCTGCCTCCCAGATTCAAGCGATTCTCCTGCTTCAGTCTCCTTAGTAGCTGGGATTACAGGCATCCACCACCATGCCTGGCTAATTTTTGCATTTTTAGTAGAGATGGAGTTTCACCGTGTTGACCAGGTTGATCTGGAACATCTGACCTCAAGTGATCTGCCCACCTCAGCCTCCCAAAGTGCTGGGAGTACAGGCATGAGCCACCACGCCCAGCCTCTAATTTGCCTTTTTAATAAAAAATGGAGAGAATATTTTTTTACCTGTAACATGTCACCAAATTCCTTTTTCTCCTTTTGCAATTTCCAAATAACACTGGGAAATCACTCATATATACTCAATTCAATGGAGAGAGATAGCATGCTGACCTCTACATAGTGTTAGAAATGAAAGCATGGTGGCTCATGCCTGTAATCCCAGCACTTTGGGAGACCAAGACAGGTGGATTGCCTGAGGTCGGGAGTTCAAGACCAGCCTGACCAACATGGAGAAACCCTATCTCTACTAAAAAGAAAAATACAAAATTAGCCAGGCGAGGTGGCGCATGTCTTTAATCCCAGCTACTGAGGAGGCTGAGGCAGGAGAATCACTAAAACCCGGGAGGCAGAGGTGTGGCGAGCAGAGATTGTGCCATTGCACTCCAGCCTGGGCAACAAGAGCAAAACTCCCATCTCAAAAAACAAAAAAAAAAAAAGTAAGAAATATAAGCAATATCTCACATCATTAATGAAATAAAAACTACAAATTCATTCCCACAAGGAAAGATCCAAATGGCTAGATGCTTGATCTGAATCATTGTTTCTTGTGATTTTCATGGTAACACCGCATTTTGTTTAATCACACATGGTATTTTATAGCAGTGATTTACGCAGTGGGCATAAATCATCGTGTCCACCTGCTACACACAATAAAACCCCAAACCAAAACAACAGTGATAATAACCGTCATCCTCCCTCCTCCCCCTCAAAAAACCAAAAACACTTTCTCCAGTGCTAAGAATTAACTATTAAGTATCATGCTAAATGCTTAAAGCTTAACACGTATTTCAAAACAACTGAAATCAAACCACAGCTTTTCTTCCAAATATACCTATACAGAGCAGATGATCAGAAGCACACTCAAAGTGTCGCTATACCCCTCCCCTTCCACTACCTGTCTATATTATTCACTTTTGGTATAAAATTTAGAATAACAGTTAAGAAAATCAATAAAACTGCTGAGGAAATTCGTGTTTGAAGAATTTTTCGCAAAATCAGTATTTCCCAAATAAACTTTATTTTGCAAAGAATATCACAATATAGTCATGTACATTTAAATACGGCACATTGAGCAGTATTGATGCAAATTATATAGCCACAGCACCACATAATGATGGTTTGGTCATCATACCATATACATGTTGGTGGCCCCATAGATTATAATGGAGTTGAAAAATTCCTGTCACCTGATAGGAATGTCTTGATCCTGACCCTGCATAGGCCTAGGCTAGTGTGTTTGTCTTTGTTTTTGACCAAAAAGTTTAAAAATTCAAAATTTAAATAGATAAAATCTTATGGATATATTTTTGTATAGCTGTACAATGTGTTTGTGTTTTAAGCTGCGTTATTACTAGAAGAGTCCAAAAATTGTTTTTAAATCAAAAAGTTTCTAAAGTAGAAAATTTACAGTAAACTAAGATTAGTTTTTTTATTATTTCTATAAAAATTATAGAAAAAAAATTTTTTGAGACAGAGTCTTGCTCTGTCGCCCAGCTGGAGTGCAGTGGTGCAATCTTGCCTCGCCGCAACCTCTGCCTCCTGGGTTCAAGAAATTCTCCTGCCTCAGCCTCTCAGGTAGCTGGGACTACAGGCATGTGCCACCATACCCGGCAAATTTTTGTATTTTTAGTAGAGATGGGGTTTAACCATGTTTGCCTGGCTGGTCCATCCATCTCGGCCTCCCATAGGGCTGGGATTACAGGCATAAGCCACTATGCCCAGCCAGAAGAAAAATATTTTTTATAAATTTCTTATAGCCTAAGTGAACAGTGTTTATAAAGTCTACAGTAGTGTATAGTAATGTCCTAAGCCTTTATATTCAGTCACCACTGACTCATCCAGAGCAACTTCTAGTCCTGTAAGTTCCATTAATAAGTGCCCCATACAGGTGTACCATTTAATTTTTTTTTTTTTTTTTTGAGATAGGGTGTCAGTGTCACCCAGGCTGGAGTGCAGTGGTGTGATCAAGGCTTACTGCAGCCTTGACATCCCAGGCTCAGGTGATCCTCCAATCTCAGTTTTCGTATTTTTAGTAGAGATGGGATTTCGCCATGTTGCCCAGGCTGGTCTTGAACTATTGGGCTCAAGCGATCCACCTGCCTCAGCCTGCCAAAGTGCTAGGATTACAGGCGTAAGCCACTGCACCCAACCAGGTGTACCATGTTTTACAAAATCTTTTATATATATTTTTATGGTATGTTTTCTATGTTTGGATACACAAACACTTGCCATTGTGTTACAATTGCCTACAAGATTCAGAACAGCAACATGCTGTAGCCTAGAAGCAATAGGCTGTATACATATCCTTAGGTGTGTAGCAGGCTATACCATCTAGGTGTGTGTAAGTACACTCTATGATATTCCCACAATGATGAAATCACCTAATAAGACATTTCTCAGAGTGCATCTCCATCGTTAAGCAAGGTATGACCGTACATGTAAAGTCACCTTTCACGTCTGATTATTCGCACTAATGGAAGGGTGCAAAGGTACAGCAAAACCAAAAAAAAAAAAAAAAAAAAAAGCAGATAACTGAAAAACAACCATAACTTGTGCTTATGTTTTCATTTTATACTTGTGTCCAAATATTTAGATGAGAATTGATACAAATTCACAGGTTTTTAAAAATGCTTCCTGAGGCCTGTAATACCAGCACTTTGCGAGGCTAAGGAGGGTGGATCATGAGGTCAAGAGATCAAGACCATCCTGGCCAACATGGTGAAACCCCATCTCTACTAAAAATACAAAAATTAGCTGGGCATGGTGGCGCGCTCCTGTAGTCCCAGCTACTCAGGAGGCTGAGGCAGGAGAATTGCTTAACCCGGGAGGCGGAGGTTGCGGTGAGCGAGACTCTTTCTCAAAAAGAGTCTTTTTGAGAACAGTCTTCTTTTCAAAAAGAAAAGAAAAAAAAATGCTGCCTGAATAATCAAAACTCTTTTTACTTTTTTTGCCCTACTATAGATAGCATCAGTAATGTTAACACAGAGTAGCATCATAGGACAAACGACTTTCCCTCCTCCCACCATAGAGCATAAGGCTCTCTGTATGAGGGCTTGCTTGAAACATTAGCAATGACTTAATAGTTTTCAACATACGGCTGATTTTGTTGGAGAACGGTGTTACAGTATAGTCTTCCTAAGAACTTTATGTTTTAGTGAGGAAAATGTCAATATATAATCAGTGAAAATGGTCTACCTATGATGTAATACTTGTTCATAACTCCTTTAAAACAACAAACGAGGATAAATAGAAATAAAAGAAGTAAAACACACCATGAACCTCTATTCTATTGTTCAGGGTTTTTGAGGCAATTCAGAGCTAACTACAAGATTATGCTACAAAACTGGAGCCATTTCTATATCATACTGAGAAATCTAATGAGCCAGAAACAGGCAGAAAACCATTTTCAGAGAATGAAGACTCAAAGATAAACAACAGAACAGCAAACTGAAGACAGAATTAAGCCCAAGGAAAATTTTCACTTTTGTATTAGTAGAGGGCAGTAGAAGACGCTGAACTTGGGGACTGAATACTGGTTCTACAGGTTAGTGCTGACCCTGGGCATAACAATCTATCTTTTTGAATGATAATTTCCTCATTTATAAATTATGCATAATAAGCTCCACCAGCTTGTTTAATGACCTCAGAGTCATGAAAATCAAAGATAATAATGCCCTTAATATAATTTTATATACTATAAAAGGCCATTCTTAGAAAATGAAGATTTGATACCTTTTTTAAAAAAGAATTAAAGATAAAAGCCAATTTAAAATAAAATTATAATTTTTTCTTTCTTTTTTTATTTTTATTTTTATTTTTTTTGAGATGGAGTTTCGCTCTTGTTGCCCAGGCTGGAGTGCAATGGCACGATCTCGGCTCACCGCAACCTCCGCCTCCTGGGTTCAGGCAATTCTCCTGCCTCAGCCTCCTGAGTAGCTGGGATTACAGGCACGTGCCACCATGCCTAGCTAATTTTTTTTGTATTTTTAGTAGAGACGGGGTTTCACCATGTTGACCAGGACAGTCTCGATCTCTTGACCTTGTGATCCACCCGCCTCCGCCTCCCAAAGTGCTGGGATTACAGGCTTGAGCCACCGCGCCCGGCCTTCTTTCTTTTTTTTAAACCCAGGATAGGTATTCAATAGTAGCTGCTGTAGATCCCCTTCCCTTTTTTTTTTTTTTTTTTTTTTTAGATGGAGTCTTCCTCTGACACCCTTACTGGAGTGCAGTGGCATGATCTGAGCTCACTGCAACCTCTGCCTTGTGGGTGCTGTCTTCTTAGCCTCTTAAGTAGTAGCTGAGACTGCAGGTGTGCACCACCATGCCTGGCTAATTTTTATATTTTTAGTAGAGATGGGGTTTCACAGAGTTGGCCAGGTGGGTCTCAAATTCCTGACCTCAAGTGATCCACCCTCCTTGGCCTTCCAAAGTGCTGGGATTACAGGCATGATCTGCCACGCCCAGCCCACTTGAGTTTTTGATGAGACTAAAATGGGAAAATATAGACTAGTTTACTAATTTATCTTGTGATACAATGTTACTGTAGTATAACATACTATAGACTACCCATTAAAGAACCAGGAAGGATAATCTGCTAGCCTTAAGAAGTAAACATTGAATATAAATGTAACTTTCTACCTCATTTATAACGTATTGATGCATTTTATCACAAAGAAAGTCACACATAAATGATTTGTCCTATGTATCATAATAGGCCACCAGTCACTAGGAGCCAAACTTCACCTGCTTAAGTCCTAGGTGGAATGTTTCAATGCATACGTATTTATATAAGTTATTAACCTTGTTTCTAACTTTGGCATTGCACATCTCCTTAGTAAAAAAGGCTTACTAGCCATTAACAAGTCAAGTCCAACAACCATTTTCCTCTGGTCCTCAAGGAGAGACTCAGAGCCAGTTGTTACAGACAAATTATTTCATTATAACATGAAAATAGCAAGCCTTGGGCTATTGCAAAAGGCTTTTCAAATGTTGACCTCTAACTTGGAGAAAATAGAGGAAAGCAGAAATATAGAGTGCTAATTTGTGCTATAACCTTGTCTCATGTCCTGGTATACTCCCAGTTGCAATATTTTAAATTTACAAGTAAGAAGTAAAACAAAGCTTCCTATCTGTGAAAGTGAAAAATAATGCAGATGTCTTCTATTCAAAGACAAATTAGATTTTTCTTCCCAATAACTTACCAGAAAGAAATGGATAGTTAGAAACCCTAAGGGATTCTTTACATAGGGGTCAGAAAAAATAGATAAAAATGAAAAAGCAAAGCAAGAAAGAACATTGTTAAAAAATAAAACGTTCTTTAAAGATGACTGCCCTCTCTTTAAAGATTAATGCTATATTAAATGGGTAGATGTATCTCTATAACTCATCATGTTTATATGTAAATTCTCTGGCAGATATAAAACCATCTTTGTCTTCATCTTCTTTATCAAAAATATCTTCCACCAAAACATCATGATGACTTTCATTCACCACCGCACCATGTTTTTCAAACTCCTTCTTTAAATATGCTTTAACCTACAAAATAACAGATCTCATTAATAACTCGGATTTATAAGATACCCACACTGAGCCAAGCCAATCAGTATCACAGACATGGACTAGTAGTTCATTTAACTAAATATGCTAACTTCTAAACAACCATTTTATAACATAGTTCTAATCACAGTTAAAAAGTTACAAGACATTTTTTCCCTTAAAAAAACTGTTGCTAAACTGCTACAGTGGAGACACAAAATATTGCTCAAGGGCACGGCTGAGTGTGGTGGCTCAGGCCTATTATCCCAGCTTTTTGGAAGTCAAGGTGGAAGATCACGTGAGGTCAGGAGTTTGAGACCAGCCTAGCCAACATAATGAAACCCCATCTCCACTAAAATAGGGAAAAAAGTTAGCCAGGCATGGTGGCGTGTTCCTGCAATCCCAGCTACTCAGGAGGCTGAGGCAGTTGAACAGCTTGAACTGGGGAGGCAGACGTTGTGCTGAATCGAGATTATGCTGCTGCCACTCCAGCCTGGGCAACAGAGTGAGTCAATCTCTCTCTCTCTCTCTCTCTCTCTCTATATATATATATATACACAGACACACACATATATACATATATACGTATATGTATATAGAGAGATATATTTGTATATACACACACACATACATACACACACACACACATTATATATATTATATATATATACTGCTTTCTCTCACTCTCTGTATATGTGTATATATATATTGCTCAAAGGCAAAGATAAAGCTTATGTCATGTACATAATTCTTACATAAGGCTTAAATTACTGGAAAATACCCAATGAGAGCATACTACTTGTTCTTAATCTGAATCTAGATTACAGACGTTTCTCTTCTTTTTTTTTTAGGCAGAATCTTGCTCTGTCACCCAGGTTGGAGTGCAGTGGCATTATCTCGGCCCATTGCAACCTCTGCCTCCCAGGCTCAAGCAGTCCTTCCACCTCAGCCTCCCAGGTGTCTGGGACTATAGGCATGCACTACCACATCTGAATAACTTTTATATTTTTTGTAGAGATGGGGTTTCACCATGTTGTCCAGGCTGGTCTTGAACTCCTGGGCTCAAGCAATCCACCCTACTTAGCCTCCCAAAGTGCTGAAATTAGAAGCATGAGCCACTGTACCCCATAGACACTTCTTTTAAAACTAGATTAAATAGTGACATCTTTGACTTGAATAAATGTCTGCAGGTAGTGGGCCTTCTGGGTTTGGTTATGATCATGCCACACTGACTGAGTCCAGTCACAACCTTCCAGTCTCAGAAAGTCAGGTCTGATAAGTACCTAGACTACAATTTTCCATTTTCATTTTATCTTCTTCTTCCTCTTCTTCTTCTTCTTTTTTTTTTTTTTTTTTTTTTTTTGAGATAGAGTCTAGCTCTGTCACCCAGGCTGGAGTGCAGTGGTGGGATCTCAGCTAACTGCATTAACCTTTGCCTCAAGCAGTCCTCCCACCTAAGCCTTCCAAAATGCTAATATTACAAGTGTTAGCCACCTTGCCCAGCCAAGACTTTTAAATAAATACCTTTTTGCCAGGTGTGGTGGTTCACACCTGTAATCCCAGCACTTTGGGAGGCCAAGGCAGGCGGATCACAATTCGAGACCAGCCTGGCCAACATGGTGAAACCTCATCTCTTTTAAAAATACAAAAATTAGCCAGCATGATGGTGCAGCTACTTGGGAGGCTGAGGCAGAGTAATTGCTTGAACCCAGGAAGCAAAGGTTGCAGTGAGCCGAGATTGCGCCACTGCACTCCAGCCTGGGCAACAGAACAAGACTGTCTCAGGAAAAAAAATTAAAATAAAAACATAATAAAATACCTTTTTGTTTTAAACCATATGACTGTGTTATATATTCAAAATTATTTAATAAAAGGGAATTAAAATTTATCTTGGATGGAAGAAAAAGGCATACGACTGGTAACACTATGAGGTGTTATAAATTTAGTGGCTGTGGATCATGACCCCCTGGTTCATAGCAATTTGGCTTATCCAAGACTTAATCATTTCCTGGACAGTAGAATGAAATTGATCAAAGTATAGAAAGGGACTGGATATCTGACCAGCCAGGACAGAATGGAGTGTGAGTAGATAAAAAACATAGGGATAAATATCTACCTCCACTTCTTTCCTCAGAGTATCCAGACTAAGTCAGATATGTGTAGCGATGGCTGTGAAAGCCTGATTAGAAGGAGAAATCTCTTCTTCCTTTTTCTTTACCCAAAGGTTCAGACTTTGATGGAGGTGGAGGTCCCCTGCTGTTGAAAACCCAGGCTGGAGTCTCCTTTCTCTGGGGCAACCTGAACAAAACTGAGCATGTAAGTTGCTTGCTGTTAATTACTAGGAAAGTACTACAAGAGGTATTTAACAGCCAGTCTATCTCCACATGAGATATTTCTCAGGACAGCTAGCTTCTTATACAGTAACTACAGATAGAAACTGCCTTGGCAAAATGTTTCTTTCAAAGACCCAAGGGTAAGGATAAGATACAGTGGACCCTAAGCATTGGGAAGAAGAAGGCAAAAGATTGAATGGTGCGCTTTTTAAGTCTTAATATATTTCTCTCCAAAACAATAATTTACTATGAAAAAATCCAATTTCAAAGCATCACTATTTTAAGAAAACTATGTTACCTAAATACAATTTTAAATATGTATATTTATTTTAAAAGTGAGTTACAAAACAGAAACAAATAAACACACCAAAAAAAAAAAAACCCAAACAACAACACAAAAGAAAGTAGAAAGGGGAGTAGGAAGAAGGAAAGGTCACCTCATCTTTAGAAAGTTTCCAGTCATCGTTAAGATCCATTTCTTGGAATGATTCATGGGATCTTGGTCCATTTCGAATCTCCAGGAGATCAATATTAAATATCAGTGTACTTTCTGGGGGAATTTTACCTGACATGAGGAGAAAAGGCAGATAGTTTTAAATGATCCAAAGTTTTAATAATGGAAAATTTATGGTAATGGACACAGCATTTTTTTAACTGCATTAAAGAGCCTTCTTAAGATTGTCATATATGATGAAAATTACGTATATTATATTTTACTCAAATAAAATAAAGGAAGAAATAATATAAACTAGCAGACCAAAAGCATTCTATCTTTGGCTTAGCAATTAAAATATAACTATACGTATACACACATGCAACACATACACATACACAGAGATATATCTAATGGCTCGGGTATTGAATTTCTATTATAATTAATATATTACATATTATATGTCAAGAAGGACTTAAAGGGTTTTATAAAATTTAGAGTTAAGTATATTACAAGTAGTAAAGTAACTTTTCAGTCAGAAAATCCTGAGCTAGAAATTCATGTAGTATTGCCATTTCTACCACTGGAAACCATTTCTACCCACATAATTGAGTGAGCTCTGGTGTCATACTGTCTGGGACTGAAGTTTACATTTGCCCATCTCTAAGCCTCAATTTTCTCATCTGTAAAATGCAGACAATAAATGTCCTACCTCAAGAGTCTGTTGGAAGGATAAAGGGAGAAAAATCCTTGCAAAATACTTAGCATTAAGCTTGACAAATAGTAAACTCTCAAATCATGTTACTGAGGTATAATTTTCTTACAGGCTTTAAAAATAATGCAGGAAGGTTTAACAATTTCAAAAAATTAGGTAACACTACCTCTGACATAGAACATTATATATATGTTGAAGACATTTCAAGGGAGGGGAGAAATTAAAATTAATTTCTGAGAAGGGAGATTAAAAATCTTTAAAAGTGAAAAGGGCTTTGTCAAAGTCCCAGGAACCTAAAACAAACAAACAAAAACACCCATCTGTAGACTATGGACAATTTTTTTTATACTTGTTTTTTAAATAACTATATTTAATATACAGGTCTGGGTAAACATGTTAAGTATTTCTTAGTCATCCTCCCCCCATCCCACATATTTCCATGAAAGAACATTCATGAGTTTCAAAGAGAAGACTTACAAAGTGTATTGATGCTTACCATTCCAGATCTAGACAGAGATGCGACATGCACTAGGTTGTTGATAAAACTTGTATCTTTCCAAAAGAGGCATGCAAGCATGTACTAAAAGACTACAAAATTAGTGTTAAATACAGATTAGAAGAATTAGTTTCATGGCATTCAGTTTGAGGAGGTGACTCAAATTTAGATCTTTACTTATTGTGAAGTAAATTTGAGTTAAATATAGTATGAAAAAGAGTAACAGACTAATACAATGTAGAGTAGTCCCCCGCTTGGGTATCTCCCAAGAACCTATTGGATGCCTGAAACCATGTATAGTACCAAATCCTATATAAACAATGCTTTTTCCTATACATGCATATCTGAGATAAAGTTTAATTTATAAAATAGGCACAGTAAGAGACTAAAAATAAAATAGAATAATTATAACATATCATAATAAAAGTTATATGAATGTGATCTATCTCTCATTCTCAAAATACCTTAATACTTTCAGACTACAGTTGACCACAGGTAACTAAAACTGTAGAAAGTGAAACCACAGGTAAGGGGGGCTACTGTATATAAATATTAAAGGTGAGACAATAAAGATACAATGAAAAAATTCTCAGCATCAGAAAAAATTTTCTAGATACTTGGTTTTCTTCTCTACAGGATTTTTTTTTTTTTTTTTTTTTTTTGAGATGGAGTTTCACTCTGCCACCAGCCTAGAGTGCAGCAGTGTGATCTCAGCTCACTGCAACCTCCACCTCTCGGGTTCAAGCAATTCTCCTGCCTCAGCCTCCCGAGTGGCTGGGACTACAGGTGTGTGCCACCATGCCCAACTAATTTTTTTGTATTTTACCTATTTCTTTTTTTTTTTTTTTTTTTTTTTTTTTTGAGACAGCGTTTCGCTCTTGTTACCCAGGCTGGAGTGCAATGGTGCGATCTCGGCTCACCGCAACCTCCGTCTCCTGGGTTCAAGCAATTCTCCTGCCTCAGCCTCCTGAGTAGCTGAGATTACAGGCACAGGCCACCATGCCCAGCTAATTTTTTGTATTTTTAGTAGAGACGGGGTTTCACCATGTTGACCAGGATGGTCTCGATCTCTTGACCTCGTGATCCACCCAACTCGGCCTCCCAAAGTGCTGGGATTACAGGCTTGAGCCACCGCACCTGGCCTTTTTTTGTATTTTTACTAGAGACAGGGTTTCACCATATTGGTCAGGATGGTCTCCATCTCCTGACCTCGTGATCCACCTGCCTGTCTCCCAAAGTGCTGGGATTACAGGTGTGAGCCACTACACCTGGCCTCTAATGAGGATTATAACTAAAATAAGAATTGAATTTGGTTAGTAAATCTTATCCTACGAACAAGATTTGTATAGCTAGTTCCATTTTGGAATATATAATACTTCCCATATGGCATCCTATTTTCCTTCTCAGGAAACGGGCTGGGAATCCTGACCCCTCACTTTGTCAATAGTTAACCTTAGACTTCAGGATGCTATGAAGTCTATATTTACACTATATCAGAGTGGTTGTCTGTCTGGTTCTGATGACTACTTAAACATTTTTTTCTTCATTACATAAGTAATACACGCTTATTGTAGAGCAGATACTCAGATGATAAAACCAGAAATAAATGTGATTCCCAGTATCACAGTCTATTGTTAACATTCTTATTTATTTCCTTGTGATTCACTTTCTATGTATATGTACTTTTTCCTATATTTACTATCATATTATATATACAATAGGTTTATTTTCTATTTTTATATATTATACATATAAAATTTTTGGATATAATTTTTAAAATCATGGGAAATGCCAATAAAATATAGCCAAAACAACTGGGCTATATTTTATTTAGCTAAATTCTTATCATTATACTACTTAGGACAGTTCCAAAATTTTGCTATTAGAAACAATGTGGTGATGTTCACAAATCTTTTTCCCGATATTTAAATTATTCCCTTAGGTTAGATTCTAATAAGGGAATTACAGGATAAATGCATATAGACATCTTAAAGTTTTTTTTTTTTTTTTTTGAGATGCAGTCTCTCTCTGTCACCCAGGCTGGAGTACAGTGGCATGATCTTGGCTCATTGCAACCTCTGCCTCCCAGGTTCAAGCAATTCTTCTGCCTCAGCCTCCTGAGTAACTGGGATTATAGGCATATACCACCACATTCAGCAAATTTTCTATTTTTAGTAGAGTCAGGTTTCACCATGTTAGCCAGACTGGTCTCGAATTCCTGACCTCAGGTGATCCACCCTCCTTGGCCTCCCAAAGTTCTGGGATTACAGGCATGAGCCACCATGCCTGGCCTCCTGACACATATCACCAAGCAGCTCTTTGGAAAGTTGCAGGGGTTCTCACTTGAACACCAGTGTATATCTCTGCCCTGAAAAACTAGTACAAAAGCTGTCTGGACAAGGTAGCCAGCTTGCTTCTCTGCTTTGTGACACACGAAAAATTAAATTCATTTCATGTCACTCTATGATTTTTTAAAATACATTATTAAAAGCTTTATAAATGAATTTTAAAATGGGAATGAAAAGAACTCCCAGTAAGAGTTTGCTGTGGGAGATTTAATATTTGTGAAGTTCAACTCATACAATCCACATCTGAAATGCATTAAATGCTTTAATAATCTGTATTTCAAATGTTCAGCTTGTCCAAACTCTTATGTTAAGGGAACGAACTTTCTGCATTGTTAAAATAAATTGGTGAGTTTCAGTTTGGGAGGATGAGAACGTTCTGAAGATGGATAGTGGTGATGGTTCCACAATAATGTGATGTATTTAATGCCACTGAATTGTGTACTTAAAAATGGTTCAAATGAAAAATTTTCTGCATATTTTAGCACAATTAAAACAACCCACCATATTGGTGAACAGTATTAACAGACCTCCATGTTCTTTTTTCATTGTTAGCATCATTGCCCATTTAGATATTACAGCCTTAAACTGGCCATTTCTTTCTTTTTCTTTTTTCTTTTTGAGATGGAGTCTTGCTCTGTCACCCAGGCTAGAGTGCAATGGCTCAATCTCGGCTCACCACAACTTCCACCTCCCGGGTGATTCTCCTGCCTCAGCCTTTCGAGTAGCTGGGATTACAGGCAGGCGCTACCATGCCTGGCAAATTTTGTATTTTTAGTAGAGATGGAATTTCTCCATGTTGGTCAGGCTGGTCTTAAACTCCCGATCTCAGAAGATCCATCCGTCTTGGTCTCTTAAAATGCTGGGATTACAGGCCCGAGCCACCTCACCTGGCCATTAAACTGGCCATTTCAACTGATAATCAAGACAGTTGCTAAAGGAATACATGCCCCCTGTTAACTTGTAGGAAAAAAAAAAAAAGTTGTAGCTACTCTAACTTCTGTCTCCTAATCCGGAGAACAACTCTAGCGCTATCGTAAGAATAGAAGTGCTATTACCTTTTCCTTCTTTTCCATATCCCAGGGCCGGAGGAATGATGAGCTTTCTCTTCTCTCCTACACACATTCCTTTTAAGCCCTGGTCCCAACCTTTGAGAGCCTCCAGGATGCCCAGGGTAAACCAAATGGGCTGACCATTGTTATGTTTATGACTATGATAAAAAGAAAACGCATTATAACTCTTTATTAACTCTAAAAAAATTTCTTTAGTGCATTTTTCCACCAATAAGTGATTAAGTTTATTAGTTTAAAAATTAATAACAGCTATTCTGGATTTGCACAAATACACACACCTCCAAGTCAAGTTTATAGGAATTCAATTCGCTGCCCATCTTTCTTGATGCAAATTTCACATACTTGACAGGGCTTGAGAAAGACAGAGGAAATAATAAAAACACTTAACAACTGTTTGAACATTTGTTGTATATCAGGAATCATTCTATTTTTTTTTTCTCTTAACCCTTACAATAAGCCTATAATGTAGGTACCATTATTACCCCATTGTACAGATGAGGAAACACAGGTTAAGTGTTCTAGTCTTTAAACCTAACTCCAAAGTTCAAGGTCTTAACCACAAAGTTATGTTGTCCCAAGCGGGCCACTAGGTTGTAGAATAGGCAGAAAATAATGGAAAATGGCTGAGTTTGGGAAGGAGATTGAAAGGCTAAGGAGAATTTACTGCCAACACATGTGGGTCCATATACACACAGATATGGAGAGTCAGAAGCACAGTGTCTTATATCCTGCCTACAGACTTTCCTTAGCTATGGCTTTCCTGCTGATGGCTCTAACAGGTAGAAAAGGCTGCTTTCATCTCTAAATCCCCACTCAGATCCCAGCCCAGTTCCCTCTTCAGGAGTCTACAATGGGGCTATATAGGAAAGTCTGGAAGAGTGGCCCCTCAAGGAGTGTTAGTCCATTTTTATCTTGCTGTGAAGAATACTAAAGACTGGGTAACTTGTAAAGAAAAGGAGGTTTAATGGACTTGAAGTTCCGCATGGCTGGGGAGGCCTCATAATCATGGTGGAAGGCAAAGGAGGAGCAAAGGCACATTTTACATGGTAGCAGACAAGAATGAATGTGCAGAGGAACTGCCTTTTAGAAAACCATCAGATCTTGTAAGACTTACTATCACAAGAACAGCATGGGGAAAACCTGCCCCCATGATTCAATTACCTCCTACCAGGCCCCTCCCACAACAGGTGGGGATTATGGGAGCTAAAATTTAAGATGAGCGTTGGGTGGGGACACAGCTGAACCGTATCAACTGGGGAGGAAGGAAATAGAATGTCCTGGCTCATGAGCTAAAGAGCGTCTAACCCAGGAAAAGCGACCTGCCTAACTACTTACTTACAGGGAGGCTTGAGGACTGAGTAATGCCTGATCCCTACTTAGTTGCCTTTCAGTGCAATAAGAAAAATACTCTATTCAAGGATATCTTGTAGGTGAGAAAAAGAAATCACTGTACTAAGCTTCATGAGTACCACGGTTACTAAATCTAGATAATGCCATTTTTTCCTGTAATTTTGCCCAATGATCAAAGTAACAAAATGACAACTGTGGAAAATTTGGGAAGGCTAGAAAAGAAAAAAGAAGGAGGAAACATTCTATTACTCATCACTGACTACAATTTTAGCACATTTCTTTTTAGGGCTAAACAATTTACCCCATAGACTATGGTTCTAGAGATGGCAAATATGCTTACAGACTGATCATTTGATGGTATTTCTTCATGATGCTTACAATTAGCAGCTTCTGACCATTTACATGGAGGCTGCATGATAACAGTCCCCTCATCAGATATTAGAACTTAGCAGCAAACTGCTAAATAATATTCCATGGCTACCATCAAAGTTAGAACAGGTTTTTGGTTCAGAGATCTGAAAGAAACCAGGCTCAGTCTAAAAGAGATCATACTAAAAATAAAACTGTAACTGAAAATCAAAATGCAAATCACATCATTTAATGTCCCCTGTGGCATTCACCTAGTTGACAAGAAGAAAGTGGTGTTGAAAATTCTAAGGCAAGCCATCTTTCTGGAACTTTTTCCCAGGGCTAATAGTTCAGAGAAGAGTGCCATTCATTCTCCCAACCCTCAAGACAGATCAGGTCTGAATGCCCAGTAAAGGCAGTTATTAGAAAACTAGGTCTAGGATGGGCTATGAAGCTTCACTGTTTTAATTCAAGTCATTCCCTCTACCTGCAAAATCCTTCCTCCCCTATTTTCCCCCTGGAAACCTCCACCCATCTGCCAATGCGCATTTCAATTATTCTCTGGGAAGTCTTTCCCTTTCCTCACCCCATGGAGCATAACTACTTCCAGGCCCAGTTAGCTTTGCTAGCACTTTGAATATTCTGTACTTTTTATCACTGCAGTATTTACTTGTCTTCCTCCCACCTACAGATGGTGTACTGTTAGAGGACAAGAACCGGCTCCTAGCCATCTTTTTGTCTCCACGGCCTGACCTGTGACCATCCAGTAACAGTTTGATAGATAGACAGATGAATGGATAGATGCGTATGATTAGAAGCCAAAATTTCTGAATCTCCCTAGCACCAAGCATATGGCTTAACATAAAGGAAATGCTCACTAAATACTTTCATAATGGAATGAATGGAACCCATGCCTAATTGGAAATCATTAGGCTTGTAAACCATTTCCATGTTGCAATTTCTTTGTTTATAGAACAGAAACGATAGTGTAACCATCTGAAAATCCTTCACCTAAACTTCCACAACCACACCCACCTCATCAATGAAGTCTTTCTAGAAAGAAGCAAATGACTGAAAGCATGATCCTGTGCCTTGACCAAAATATCATCTGTCAGAACAAAAGTTAAGTAGGTCAGTGAAACAGCATCAGTATATCCTTCAACAGGCAAATAAGTGATTGGGTAGTTTGCTTTTGAAGTCGCTATGAAAAGTTTTAGGTGAACATCACCTACACCACGTTAAAAAGGGAATCAAGTTATTTTCCCTAAGAAATGGAGTTTGAGATACGAGAATTCTTTTGAGCTTTTTCTACTTATTGCCCAATTAAACACGTATATATTTCTGCAATGTTTCAAAGATTCCAATTCTAATTTTTATAATAAAAAATTATACAGAAATCACATGAACAATAAAAGTTCCGTAATGTGTTTAAAAAAAAAAAAAAAATTAACAGCCTTTTCTAGACCACGTTTCCAATGACACCTTCCGAGGCCTCGCTCGCTATATAAAACTGGCTTTAAACAATTTCCTTCCCCAAAGAAAGAAATAAGATATTTCTGTTTGTAAAAGAGGTAAAACCAGGTACAAGCCACCTTTCCTGCCGGAGAGCTGGCATAAATGGGTGGATTCTTGATTACTATTTTACCTACGGGGCATAATTACTTACGTGGAGTGGAACAAGGAGCCGTCCTTTTCCAAGTAGCCTTCATAATGCACCAACATCAAATCCCCTCCTTTGGTCTTGCGGTGGCAGATGAATGGTTTCTGGAGAACTTCAATTTTCACTTCTGGTTCGGGGATCAGAGCCCCAATCAAAGAAGTGACGAACAGCGTCAAGACCGCGTTCCACAAGAAAAGCCTCATGTTGCCGAAGCAGGAAAGAAGTCCCTACAAAAGCAGCGAAAGGGCCCTCAACGTCATAAATTTAAGAGCTTAGTTCAAGGCTTAGGGATAACGGCCTGAGGCAAGTTCAGGAGTTCCCCTGGTTAGAAGACGTGGCACATTTACTACTAACGACTTTCTCACGGGGCCCGAACCCACCTTTAAAGAGTTAAGCCCAAATGTAATCCTGACAGGCTCTTATAGCGAAGCCGCCCGGGAAGCGCGGCCTCCCATTGGCCTTTCCTGCTGTCCTTCAGGCAGCCCTCAAGCCAATGACGCTGCAACGATGGAATTTACAGCCCGGTGGAGCCGGGCAGCCAGCCAGGCGGCGGATCATCCCGTGTGCGTCCTAGAGCCCGGCGGATTTCGGAATTTAACCAGCAAGGATTTGGGGCGAGGGGCGGGGCGCAGAGCCAACGGAAACTCCTGCAGCCGATTTATCTCCGTGAAGAGCCCCGCTGAGAGAGTTAGGAGGAGTCCGGGGGCGCCGTGACACTGTCGAAGTTCCAGGAAACACTCGTTTACTCTCGCCGTTGGAGAGCGGCCCTCCGATATGCTACAACCCTAGGCTTTTGCTATTGCTCATAAACAGTAAAGATTTACATAGTGCTTTATAGTTCACAAAGCGCGTTCCTGTTGCATGAACCTCAGTACAATCAGTAAGGCAGGTTCTTTTTTTCCACTTAAAAAAGAGAAATAAATTTAGACCAGGAGAGAACTGTCCTGCTTAAGGTTGTTTGGGCCCGAAGTAGATGAGCTCAGCCTTCTAACCAGGTCTGATTCATTCCACGGCCCCACGTAATGTTATGGCTGCTAATAATTTATCCCTTAAGAGGGTAAATAATGAGTTACGACGTGCAGAAGAAGAAATGGTAATCATGGTTACGAATTACACAGCCTCATTTTAGTTTACATTTTCTAACTTTACATTTTTCGCCTAAGTTCTAAAGCAATACGTTCATTGTAGTCAATTTGGAAGAAATTGGAAAGCACTCAAAGTAGGATATCCAGATAAAACTGGGGAGTCGAATTAAGTTTGAATTTCAGATACATAACTAATAATTGTTTTGCTTTTTTATTTATTAAATCAGGCAACCTTACATTAAAGAAAAAGAAACGTCACGGATACCACCACCTGCTGCAAATAATTCTCTTAATATTTTGGTGCATGCTTCTATGCCATATACCTAAAGCGATTTTAAACGTATTGTACTCTGTGTGTGTGTGTGTGTGTGTGTGTGTGTGTGTGTGTGTGTGTGTTACTCATTTCTCACCTTCTCTTTCCACTTAATCTGTAGTTAACATTTTTCCTGGTCAAATATCCTTAGCACAGTGCATTTTGGCACTCTGTGTACATAGGGATCCCCCTGGAGTTCTTGTTTAAAATGCAGATTTTGATTTTGGAGGTCTGGAGTGGGTGCAAGATTCTGCATTTCTAACAAGTTCTTAGGTGATGTCAATGCTCCGGGTAAGTGGACTGACACTTCCAGTACCGAGATCTTAGAGTCTGGACAACACCTGTTTACACTGGCCTCATAGTACTCCACCCTGAAATTCCAATTATTCCTTTACGCCCTATTATTGGCTACCTGAAGTGCGTGAGATCAATTAGGCAGCTCTGGAACAAGAATAGGGACTAGAGCCCAAGGAGTATCGTGAGAGGTTACGTAGACACCCGCCCCCCCCCCAAACGTCGGGCACCATTTACAGTCAGTACTGTGCCCAACACGTGTCTCCGGGGCCTCCCTCCTCTCGTCGCCTACTCCCAAGTGGGCGTCCCAGGACTCAATTTCCCTGCGGGCCTTTCCGGCAAAGTCGGCCCCGCCGCCGCGAAATCCCGGAGTGGATTTTGGGAAGGGGCGCGCGAGCGGCGCACCGGGCATGCGCGAGCGCGTCCCGGGCCCGGCGGGTGGAGGGTTCAGGTAGAGCGCGGTGGCGCCTCGTTCGTAGGACTCCGGAGGTTTCGGCCGCCCCCTCCGGCCCACGTAGGGCCCGGGTCCTGGCCTCATTGTGAACAGCGTGTCCCGCTTCGCCGCGTCGGCTCACCGGCTGGCTGGGCTGCTCGCGCGGAGGCCGCCGCAGTGACCCCGCCCCCGGGCCGAGGATGTGAGGCGGGCCGGGCGTCCCCACACCGGGCCCGGGCGCCGGGAGTGGGCGTCTGGGCCGCGCCGGGCGATGGCCCTGCTGCCGGTGCTCCTCGCCTCCTGGGTCCTGGGGCAGTGAGGGGGACGGCGGGCGTGGGCCGAGGGGCCGCGGGCGCCATGGAGGGGGTGCTGTACAAATGGACCAACTATCTGAGCGGTGAGTGGCCGCGCCCGGCCGGGGGCGCGCGGGGGGCCTGTCCTTTGTCTGCGCGGCCGGAGGGCGGTGTCTGGATCCGTCCTGGGGCTTGGGGTCATGGCCCTTCCTGAGGCCAGCGTGGAGCCGGAGTATTTTTCAAAGCAGTTCTCTCACTGGACCGTGTCACCGTGCTGGGCGACACGGCCCTCTCTTGGGGCTGGGTGAGAGCATTGGCTGCCCTTTCACTTCAAGGAAGGCTAGAGAGACTGAGATTTGGGGTGACTCGAAAGGCATGGTGCTCTCGATGTCAGCTGGAGGAAGGCGCAGACGCCCCGCTGTGGGGTCCTCTGGGAGTCTCTTGCATTCTGGCGAAGGAACCCGACTCCCTTGACTCGCAGCTAGGTTGGAAGGTTTCAAAAGAATCCCTGCAGTAACCTGGAATTCCCCAGGGGAAAGATCCTTTATCAAAGTCTCCAGTGCAAACACTTCCCCTTTGTCACCTTCAGAGTCATCTGCGTGCACACCAAGGTGTCAGAGTGCAGCTCCACAGTTTCAAAGCTCCAAAGGCTGCACAAGGTTTTTTATTTTCTCGCCGAGCATTTCTTTTGTTTTACACTCTCAGAAATTACCGTTAAATGAATGCAAATATTTGCAGCTGTCTTGCCCTGCCTTACAGATTGGCTTTAAAATGCTACCCGCCCCTTTTCTAGTTTGTGGAGGTAAAGGCTTCATATCTTGAGAAGGTTATAACTGTTCTACAGCTGTGAAGATTTTTCAGAACGATCTTTTTTTTTATGTGTGCAACTAGTATTTAATGAAAGCCTAGTATTTGCTGGAAACTGTGCTAGCCACTTTTTTGGAAGTAAACTTTTTATAGAAAATGGATTAGGTTTTTAAAGTTTTAAAGGCAGTGTGTTTGAAAGCAGAAATGTTCCCAGTATCTCTTAGAGTGGGTGAGAGACGTTTTCCTTTCTTTTTTGTGGGATAGGTTTTAAAGGTTGTAGTATGGTAATACACCGAGTGTTTTAAGAATGGCTGTGTGTGGGAGAATCAGTTGGCATAGTAACTTCGAGGAGGTCACACAGCACAGCCAAAGGTGCCCCTCTTAGGCGTACCCAGAATCTTTTCCCTTTGCCTAGTATAATTAGCAGTGAGTTCTCCTGTTTATTTTTTCTGTAATCATTGGTAGAGACTAAATGAGAAGAGGTTTTTCCTTTTGCTTCAAGGACCTTCAGTGATGTCCATAATTCGATTAGATGTGGATAACTCAAAGCTAGCCTTCGGTTTGGTGAATGCCAGAGGCTTATCAACACTGCTAGCCTAAGGGGAGGAGGCTTGACTGGGCAGTTTTCCTTTTGAGGTCTCCCTCAGCTCTCAGCTGCATATACTTGAATAAAATTTAGTTGCTGGTCTTTCACTCCCTTCCATTACACACTTTTACTTTTTACCCTTTTTTCTTTCATCTACAACACTCTTCTTTTTTTCCCATTCTTCCCCATCCGCGACTTTTTGTGTTGTTTTGTGGGGATTTGTTTTTTTCCATCTTTTCCTTCTCCTTTCTGTGTGGTAAGTTTAGTCTCTTGATACAGCAACTATTTCCTGGTAGTGAAATGCTTTTGCTGTTGTTTCTGACTGTCCTCGTGTATCTTTCAATAAAGCAGAACTCTGGTGGGATCTTTTCGAATCTTGATCATGTGATTCCTATCTGTTCTGTTGGAAAAGATTCTCCTTTTTTCTTCCCAAAGTAAGAGAAGTTATATGCTGTGAGTGGAGCTAGGGTGGAAACCCTAAAGAAGAGGGCACTGGAGCCATTGCCAGAGAAAGCTGTCTTTACATGATGCTGCTTGTTCCTTTAACCTACGTGCCCTGTCCTTGTGGGCATACTGTTCATAGAAGCCCATCACACCAGTGGGTACTTTTCCAGATAAACCTTAGAATGGTTCGGCACATTCTCTTCCTTTAGGAGATAAATTTACTTGGGAAAGCAATGGTCATAGCCTAGGAGAATTGCATGCATTGTTGTTTCCTCCACCTTTCACTTTTCTCCTTGGTCTTCTCAAATAAGCATGTTGTGTTAGGAACAAGTTTCTTTTTCTTTTTCTGAAGCTTATTTTAAAAGTAATTTTTTCTTCTTGAAGGTTTGCACATAGTGACTTTAAAATACATATAATAAACTTTTTGTTCATTCTGAATTTTTCTCCAAAAGTAGTACATAATCCATACCTCTGTCAGTGTGGTTTGTTCATTTGCCATGCTGACAGCTTGATATGGGATGCCTTGTGTAAAATTTCAGTGAAGTCAGGAAATCAGTTTATCACTTGATCTTTTGAGTCCCTCGGAGATGTTGTTAATTTCATTTAGCGTCTACTATGTGTTGGGCACTGTGCTAGGCACAGGGGAAGCAATGTTGAACAAAGCCCATGCCCTTCTTGAGCCTACAGTCTGGTGGGGAAGAAAGATATTTATTGGCTAAGTGGTTAGAAGCATGTTCCATGGTGTGTGACTGGGAAGGAGGGAGGGCAAAGAGGCTAGTAGGGTTGTTAGGGAAGGCTTCTTTGAGAAAAAAATGTAAGCAGGGTCTGAAGGGTAAATCAGGCTGTTAACAGGTGGAGAGGCCAAGGCAGAGGTGTAGTTAGAGGGAGTAAAGAAGAACTCTCCAGGCACAGGGAATGCCAGTGTGAAGGCCCCAAAGCAGAAGAGAGACCTGTGAGTTTGAGGAAAGGAAAGAGGACTCATCTGGCTGAGAGCTGAGAAGACTGAGGCTCTAACAAAGATGCAGGGGTGTGCGTGAGGCCAGATATTTCAGGGCCTCATAGGCTGGTTTAAATACTGTGATGTGATTTTGTATTTACATGTGTGTACATGCATGCATGCATCTATGAGAGAAAGATAAATGATGAAATTGTTTAAAAGCTTACTGTGGTTTTAGTGTAGCATAGAAAGTTTTCGGGTTACATCTTTGTATCTGTCTCTATTTCATTAAATACCACATATAATTATTTTGTGTGCTGCTTTTGCCTCTTGAATTTCAAATTGATTGGTGTATTAATCACTGAAAGTTAGAAACATTGTCAAGCCCTGATAATAGCATTTAAGGTCTACATTTCTAGAATGCAGAAAGAGAAAGAAGTCTCTTCCTTTAGATGCTAAGCATATTCAGGTACTCTATCCTCCTTCAATGAAAAATTAAAAAAAAAAAAGTTTGTCTGTTTTCTTTTACAATCTGGTGCCATCTTACCTCTTGGACATTCTGGGATTTAGTGTCAGTACCTTTCTTCAGATGTTAGAAGATTAAACTTGGGATGAAAAGAGAGTGAATTAAAAATGTTACAGACGCCTACACTGTGTGAGACATACTGCTAAGCACTGTATTTGTTATTTGTCTTTCAAGACCTAAAAGTTAGTCAAGGAGTATCTTGCATGGAGGGCTACACATTAATGCTCCAAAACACTGGTTCAGGAGTCAAAGAGACCTGAAGCCTGGTAAACAGCCCTGTTACTGCCAAGTGCAGGTCACTTTAGCATGCTGAGCCTTAGTGTCTTCCTCCATAAAAATAATGGGATTGACCAGTTTATAATTGTAAGAATTGTGGCTGGGCTCGGTGGCTGATGCCTGTAATCCTGCCACTTTGGGAGGCTGAGGTGGGTGGATTACCTGAGGTCAGGAGTTCGAGACCAGCCTGGCCAACATGGTAAAACCTCATCTCTTCTAAAAATACAAAAAATTAACCAGGCGTGGTGGTGGGTGCCTGTAATCCCTGCTACTTGGGAAGTTAAGGCAGGAAAATCGCTTGAATCTGGGAGGCAGAGGTTGCAGTGAGTCAAGATCCTGCCACTGTACTCCAGCCTGGGCAACAAAAGCGAAACTCTGTCTCAAAAAAAAAAAAAAAAAAAAAAAAAAAAAAAAGTAAAAAATTCGTTAGGACTCACAATGTGCCAGGCACTATTCTAGACGTTTTAACATGGATTAACTCAGTCTTTGCAGCAATTTCAAGAAACAAGTTGCCATTATTATGCCCATTTTCCAGATGAAGACACTGAGATATAGAGAGGTGGATTTGCTGATGGTCACACAGTTAATAAGGGACTTCAGAGTCAGTGCTCCATTAGACAATACTTTTAAAGGTCCTTCTTGCTCGATCATTATGTAATTCTAGCTGATTCATAATGTACCTATATTTAAAGTATGTTTGACCTAGAATAACAGACTCTATTTCAGGGGTGGGAAATGGGGAGGAATTCCAGAGTGAAGAAAGCTTTGACTGCCCAGTGTTGTGCATACGTTTTGCCACAAGGAAATTTTCTGACCTGTGCTTTCTACTTTGTAGTTTTAGGCCCTTTTCCTGCCCACTCAGCTGACAGGAGGGCTGTTGTCGTGAACTCCAGACAGCCGTGGGCTGCTTGCGCCTCTCCAGCAAGTTAAGGCTCAAGCACATTGCATTACTGCATTCCAAAAATAACAGAGGCCTGCCTCATACTGGCCAGATGGTTTTCATTAAGGATGTGCTATAATTTGGTTTCCCCTCAGGTGGATGAAGGTGACTCTTGCCATATATACTAGTGCTGTATAAACAGTACAGGGAAGACATCTGGAATATAAGGATTCTTGGTCTCACAACCACTGGGCAAACTTTTTTTGTTGTTGTTAACATTTTAACATCTTTACTGAAACAATTCATAAGCCACAAAATTCATCTAAAATGTACAACTCAGTGATTTTAGTATATATAAAAAGTGCAACAATTACCATGATCAATTTTAGAACATTTTCATTATCCCAGAAAGAAACCCAGTATCTACTAGCAATCACTCCTACACCTGCCCCCTTGCCGTTGACAACCACTAATCTGTCTGCACGGATTTGCCTCTTCTAGATATTTTATATAAATGGAATTATATAATATGTGGTCCTTTGTGGCTGGCTTCTTTTTAGCATAGTGTGTGTGTGTTTGGATAGCATGTATCAGAACTTCATTCCTTTTTATTGCCAAATAATATTTTATTGTATGTCTGTTCTGTAT